TTAGCACAACGATCCGTAGGTGTGTGCCAGTAGGTTTAAGTGCTGGCACATAATTACTTTTCTAACAGAGGCAAAAAGATCTCTCCTGAAATCTGATTTACATAATGAATCTGTTCCACCAAGCCCCTCCCCCCACAAGCCACCGACAACTTAGCCTGGACCATTCAGGGAGTCGGAAGCCTCTGAGTGCCGGGGTGGCTCTCATCCAGCCCGGTTCTCCCTGCTCACAGCAGCCCAAGGCCTTGACACACTGCCCCAGAAGGGTCTCCACCCACGAAATGGCTCAGACCATACCAAGGTCAGAAAGCAGAGACAGGCACCAAGAACATTCTAGATGGGCTTTGGCACAAACAGGGAAACTTATAAAAGGAGTGAACAGTGAAAAGATCATAAATGCAACATTCATGTTTATGCACGACCAATAAAGGCCAGTCACATTAGCTAAGGGACAGTGTGGCTCCAATTATGAGGAAAGGGAACTAGATTTGTAACCCCTGCACTCAGAAACCTGAAGAGGGGTGCGGGAAGATCCAGATCAAAGTAGTAATAGCAGTTCTCTATGGCAAGGGCGGGGTGGAATTGTACCTTTTATTGCTTACATTTTACGTTACTTGTATTTTCCAAATAAAGATGTATCTGGGAATTACTTCCAGAATTAAAATTGAAGCTAAAAATAATCTTTAAGAAAAATTCACACACATACACACACACAAAGATTTACAATAGAATTTCTTTTTCATGCTGAGCTCCTATGCATTTAGAATGATCCAGTTTAAAAAATAATAAAATGATTCTGTTTAAAGAGATGAAACTTAACCATTTTATATCCTATGACAGGAAAGAGCGAGTCCTTGGTCTCACAGGCAGAGAGAGGAATATGAAGACCTGCACATCATTGCACACTAAGAACTGCTCAGGGCTTTGCCATCTGGCAATGCAGCCATGGTTGGGATCCTTAGGATGAGGATCAAGTTGGCCAGAATCTTTGTGATGGCTCTATCTTAATTTTCGAAAGAGCTAATTATAAAGACACGATGGTGGTCTTCTCAGATCAGGTGGCCACAAGCCAGAGTGAAATCAAAGAACGTTGACTATCAGGCAGAAATGTTGGAGATTCTTGGAAGGTCCCCATGCCTATATCTAACTGTGTCTATAGGATTCTATTCAAAGATCTATGTTGGTGTTTCATTAGGGTCCCTTTAGGACACTTTTAAAACAGATTTTTTTTTCTGTCCTAATCTCAATCTTTAACCCCCCAGTGAAATTTTAATGACACATTTTGCTAAAAATGATAGGTAGCACTCTTTTTAATGGCTGGATAATATTCCATTGTATATATACACACCACATTTTCTCTATCCAGTCATCTGCTGGTGGGCATCTAGTTTGATTCCATATCTTGATTATTGCAAGTATGCACAATTATCTTGTGTTGATTAAAAGTAGAAAAACAAATATTTGAAAAGCTGGAAATGCTAACTACCCAGATTTGATCATAACATGTTGTATACGTACATTGAATTATCACATTGTACCCCATAAATAGATAGGTATGATTAAAATGATACTAATTAATAAAAAAGTAAGTAAATAAAAGTATGTTTTAAATTTAATGACACAGATCAACTCTATCTGACCTGTTTTATACTCTAGCTCTTCAGGGGACCACAAACTACAGTAACAACCGGGTCTTCTGCCTCTCCCAAGAACCAATTTTTGCCCCCGGAAGGGGTGATTTCACCTTTTGGAAATGCATGCTCTATGTGCACACCAGATACAGGCACAGAAAGTGAGAGAAGCCATAGAAACCTTCCATTTCCCTGATAATATTTCCTAAGTTGTTAAACTTCCATAAGGAGGTATTACTGTCACTAGAAAAAATAAATAAAGCTGTGTGTGTGTGTGTGTGTTGTAGTAGTGCCAGGGGAGTGTAAAACCACAGGCTGAAATTCAAATGCCAAAAAAAAAGAAAGAAAAGGAACGGAAGAAAGCAAGCTGCTCTTTGAGGACTGTTTGGATTAAGACCACGGCTGCGGCTCGTCTGCCAACACACCTGGGCAGCCAGGCTCCCAGGGGAGACGGGCTTCAGGATGCTGCTAATGTTTTCTGGTTTTCTTGCTCTGCTCACTGAGAAGGCCCTTGTGGGGCTCCTGGAGACCTAAATGAAACTCAACCAGACCATCTTGTAAACGCCACCGTGGTGTTCCAGAGAGCGCCAGCCACAGAAGATCTAAACCCAGGACCTCCCCGGGCACTGTGTGCTCTGAAACCTCACAGGAACCAACAGTTTTGAAAGACGGGGCGGGGGGGACTGTTTGGAGAGACCTGTGCCTTCTGAAACAAAGGTGGCTGAGAGTCAAGGGCTAGCACCACACTGGGGGCAGCAAGCCCCTGGGGCAAGAAGGAGAGAAGAAACCAGACTGAATGAAAGACAGCGCCACCCACAGGGTCCTATATTTGATAGATAATTTGAACAACTTCACAAAACAACACTAACACCTTTCATACGCAACATATCCCATGTATTCTACTCTCGGCCAGTCTGTTTCATATTTTAAGGGCTGGTCACCACCATCCACTAATAGGTCATAAGCTCAGATTGAAAAACATAAATGTACCCAACCCCCCAGTGCACAGACGAGGAAACGGAGACTCAGCAAGGTCAAATCCAAGGTCCCAAGGCTACATCCCGCCAGAACCAGGATCAGCTCAGACGCAGGGAAATGCCAACTGGACCAGTCTAATCACTCGCACTCAACCCAGTGGAATGCCTCTCTTGGATTTTTTTTTTCCAAACACCCAAAGGCCAGGTGCCCTGGTTCCCTGTGAAAGCCAGATGGTTCCATGGCACTATCCACATCACCAAACTGACCCCTGTGTTCCTCCCCTGAGCGGCTTCCTTGCCATAAGCCTCAGCATCCCCAGAGGTGGGTCATGGAGCTGCCGGCCTTGAAGAGCTGAGCTTGCTCACTGGACAGAGGAACCCCGACGGCGAGGCTCCCACCCTGAATCCTGACACATAATTTCCCAAACGCACTGAAGGTGGCCGCCCTGATTGTTAAGACCTTGGGGAGGGGGGGTCTTCAGCATTTTCAGACAAGGTGAACCAGCACTTAAAATCCACCTTGTAGATTTAAAAGATTATGGGTCCAGCGGCTCTGTTTGCTGACCAGGGTCCACCTAACTTCGTGATGCGCCCAGGGAAGGGGTGAGGGAGGCGCCGAGAGGGAGCAGCAGATGCCAGGCGCCGCCCCCAACCTTCCCTTAACCACGCCCCCAGCCCTAGGGGGACCCTCCCCAACCTGCTTGCCAGGAGGCCTCAGCAGCCCCCAATCTCTGTTGCTCTCATAAAACCAAGAAGATCAAACTCAACTGCCATCAGAAAAGTGCCTGGCCTCTGCTCCAAGATCTGAGGTTCCAAACATGCGTGCCAGGTCTCCACCTTAGGTTCCCCCAGGCAGCTCGGATGACCATGCTAAAGTCACAGTCACGTTAAGTCTTCCATTTAAATTGATGTGGAGTCTTCCCAGTACCTTAGAAGAAAGATCCACTCTCTAGACCATTCGGCCTGTAGGCCAGATCTGGCCAGGCACCTGCTCTTATAAATAAAGTTTTCTTGGAACACAGCCCCGCCCCTTTGCCTGCCTATCTTCCTGGCTCCTTGGCTTCTCCAACACGGAGTTGAGCAACTGCAGGGACTCTGGCCTGCAAAGCGGAAGCACTTACTCTCGGGCCCTCAACGGGTCCTGGACTGTCTGATAGGCTCCTGCTTTTTTCTTTGCTTTTTTAAATCGTAAAATACACATAACATGAAAGTTGCCATTTTAATCATTTTTAAGTGCCCTTTCAGGGGCATGAAGTACATTCGCATCACTGTGCAAACATCACCACCTGCACCTCCAGAGCTTTCTCCTCCTCCCAAACTGAAACTCTGTACCCGTCAAATAACAGAGAATCTCCCAGCTGCCCTCCCGCCAGCTCCCGGCAACCACTGCACTCCCTCTGTGTCTGTGGATATGAGGACTCTGGGGACCTCATATCTGTGAATTACACGCTATTGGACCTTCATGTCCAGCTTCTTGCACTTAGCAGACTGAGTGCAAGGTTCTCCCAGGTTGTGGCAGGCATTAGAATTTCCTTCCTACGACTGAATGATATTGCATTTGTAGACCTGTGAATTACACTGCCATCTGCTAATTCTTGAGCTCCTCTTCAGCACACGGCTCCGGGTGGCCAGGGGCCTTCTGTCAGCTCCCCCAATGCCTCGGGCTTCCCTTCACCCTCAACTGAGATGAGCCTCAGGGGCCAAATTCCCACTGAATTTCAAAGACCCCCGTAGAGAAAAGAAGACTATCTCAGAAATAGTATTTTCCATGGATTCTATGTTGAAATAGTATTTTGACATATTAGGTTAAGTGACGTGTGAAAATCAGTATCACTTCTTTCTTTCTAATGTTCATCGGCACCCAGAAAAAGTAAGGCAAATAACTCGGCTGACATCCTGTTTTCCAGGGGTGTCCCTGGACTAGATTCTGCAGGGGACAGCAAACTTCTCCCCGAGGGGGCCAGGTGGGAAACAGTTTGCTTTGGGGCTCATATTTATCTCTGCAGTTGTTACTCCGAAGCAGCCACAGACCATTCATGAAGGCATGAAGCAGGGGTGTGTTCCAATCCACTTTATTTATAAAATCAGGCCACAGGTCAGAATTAGCCCCCAGGCCTCTAGAATACTGATAGCATTTAAAAAAAAAAAAGTCAGTTCTAGAAAATCCCACTTTCTGGAACTCTCAGTGAAAAGCCACTTTTGATTCAGCAGGAGCTGGGAAACACAAGTCTTGGGGCCACCAGACAGCCCCTTGCAGCCCAGGCCCCGCCCACGCAGCCCAGGCCCCGCCCACGCAGCCCAGGCCCCGCCCACGCAGCCCAGGCCCCACCTACACAACTCAGGCCACGCCCACGCAGCCCAGGCCCCGCCCACGCAGCCCCTCTGTGGCACTCACTTGGGCGTGTGCGCCTCGTCCACGCGGTGACCCAGCTGGAACTCGTGGGATTTGCTCCTGTGCAGCGCCGTGAACCCCGGGATCAAGTGGATCAGCTTTCGGGAGGAGGGCGGCGGGGTCCCCGGGGGCTTCAGCTTGTTCTTCCTCCTCATGGGCGGCGTGCCTGGCGGGGTCACAGTGGTGACGATATTCGGGGTGCGTGGTGGGGTGCGGACTGCGTGCCGCTGGCGGGGTGAGGGGGGCAGGGAACGGTGGCCCGATTCCAGGGGCGGCGGCGGGCACAAGCCTGGGTAGGCGTCCACGGTGAGCCTGTCCACGTGGGTGTACACGGGGGCCCCCGGCGTGGGGCTGGTGTGACACAAGTGCTGGACACACTTGGACTGGACCCTGGGGCTCTGAGAGAGGTGGGTGCGGATCCACGGGGCGGGCTCCGGAGGGCACACGGGATTGTTCTCCTTGCCCGTCTCTGGGGTGGGCCACTGGATGATCCAGTCCTGCTTTGAAAGGTTGCCTCCTGGGTGGAACAAAGGAGCAGAGAGACCGAGGGTCAGCCAGGGGAAAGCCCGTGAGTTCCCGGGATGCGCCATGACGTCACATGCACGTCACCTCACATGCACATTACATCACGTGGGCCAGCGGGCCACGCGACAGCATGTGCACCTCCCATGTCTAGTTCCATCATAGGCAAGTCACGCCCTCGCAAATCACATCGTGTGCATGTTCCGTAGTAGGGACATTACACACTATATATGTGATATCGTCTGCATAGGGTGTGATATGCTCATTATGTCATACACATATTACATCATAAGCACATTTACAAAATCCAGCCAAACCCACTTGGCCCCTCCAAAAAGTGAATGAAGCCCCCTTGTTGATCTTACCACCCCCACTCAATATCCTCCTCTTCCAAGGTTTCCCAGCACTGGGAAACTGGGAAACCGGGTTCATAGCTCAAAGGCCCAGAAAGGCACATAAGTTCATCCCTGCCTGTTGAGCCGCAGTGTCAAGGTGACTGAAAGGATTTTTGAAGATAACTTTACCTTCAGTGGCAATTTTAACACCTAACCCCAGCCAGAGATACATGAATCTTCCTTCCCTGACGGCTTTCTTCCCAATGCACCCTCACTTGGGATCTATGTTTCTGAGCACTCATTTGAGCATCTGTCCAACAAACATTCTCCAAATGCCGATGATATGCCAAGTACCATGCTTGGAAAAGGCATGACAGGAAGACATAGCCCTGGTCCCCTGGGCTTCTATTCTGCAGAAGCAGAGACTGGACACACCAACAGACCTGCTCACTGGAGCATTTCACGTGGTTATAGCTCTGGCAGGGAAATAAAAGGAATGCTGTGATAAACCGAGTTTGGTGACAGTGAATGGATAACCAACCAACTGTGGTCCAGACACACCATGGAATACTACTCAGCCATGAAAAGGAACCTGAGGATTGAACTAAATGAAAAAGGCTAATCCCAGAAGGTTGCCACACTGCCTGACCACTTAACATAGCATTTTTGAAATGACAACATTTTAGAAGCAGAGTAGATTGCTAGTTGCCAGGGGTTAGGGATGGGTAATAGGAAGAAATGGATGTGGTTGTGGGAAAAGCAGCAACAGAGATGTGCAGAACCCAGCGTTTTCTACTATGGGGCTGGATACCTGAATCCACCCAGTGATTACATAGAAGAAAATACACACAGAGAGATTGCAAGTAAAACTAAGGAAATCTGAACAAGATCAGTGGATTGCATGGAAATCAATATCCTGGTTACATTAGAGTCTTACAAAGTGTTACTGTTGAGAGAAACTAAACAAAGTGTATCAGGGTCCCTTTGTTATTTCTAGCAACTGTGGTGAGTCTAAACAGTTTCTCAATTTAAAAATTCTATTAAGAAATTAAAAATGGGGCCCTGCGTGGTGGCACAGCCTGTGATCCCAGTGACTCAGGAGGCTGAGGCAGGAGGATGGCGTGTTCAAAGCCGGCCTCCACGAAAGCAAGGCACTAAGCAACTCCGTGAGACCCTGTCTCATAAATAAAATATAACATGGGCTGAGGATGAGGCTCAGGGGTCAAGTTCAATCCCTGGTACCAAAAAAAAAGAAAGAAAGAAATTAAAAAATGGAGGTGGGAGATTGCACCAGCAGAACTCTGGGAATGCCATCTAACAAAGTGGCATCTTTAGGACAAGAAGGGGATGGCCATGTCAGCAGGCAGGGGCAGGCACACCAGCAGGTACAAAGGCCTGGCGGTAGGAAGGCTTGCTGTTGTGGTGGTTGTTTTAAGACTTCTGAAGGTTTATTAGAAGGATGGAGACTTTTCAAAAGAATCGCACTGTAATGAGCACAGATTGAGGTTTCCAGCCTCATATCAGGTAACTAAGAAAAAAAAATCCAATAGCATATGAACATTTTTCACTCATTTACCTTAGTGATGGTACAACTGCAAGTTTGTTCTAAAGATTCAGACTCTCAGGCAGCAAATATACAGCCTTTCTTCATCCTCCACACCGAGATATAAACGTATCAGGGTCAAAGAGCACCAAAGTACAGGCTTCAAAACCACGTCAGTGCCGGGTTCAGACCTGTAACCCCAGCAGCTCAGGAGGCTGAGGCAGGAGGATCTCGGGTTTGAAGACAGTCTCAGCAACTTAGTGAGACTGTAAGCAACCTAGTGAGACCCTGTCTCAAAAGATAAAACAGAAAGGGCTGGGGACGTGTCTCAGTAGGTGGTTTTTCTCAGGGTGTGACCACAGTGTGACTACTGGCCCCACAAAAGGCTGAAGGAACCCGTGACAGATAGGCCCCACCAGCCCAGGGACGAAGGCACCCTCCTCCATGAGCCCCATGGAAAGTCTGGGGAGTTGGAGGAGGCATGACCCATGACCCACTTAGATTCATTTCTCAAAGATCACTGGGGTGACTGCACGGAGAAGGGGGTCCAATAAAAGGATTTTGCATGGACATCGTAACCAATGATGTTGGCTCTGAAATTGGTGGCAGCAAAGCCACCATGAAGTGGGCACCTCTGGAGGACAAACACCGGGTGTTCTCACTCGTTCACAGAAGCCCAGAAGTTGGTCTTGGAGAAGAAGAAAGGAGAGGAGGTGGGGGCTGGTGGGCCGGGCAGGACCGCAGCGGGCCGGGGGAAGGGTTTCCGTGGCTCAGCAGCGCAGCCGGGTAACTCGGGTTGACAACTACTAATTGCATATTTCAAAATAGCTCGTGGAGGGGATTTCGAAGGTTCCCAGCACGAAGAGATGATAAATGTTTAAGGCGATGGATGTGCTGGATACTCGGCTGTAATCAGGACACATTATGTGTACACCACATGTACGATGACGACGATGTGTCAATTAAAAAACTTCATCATGAAGCAAATGATTTTTTTTAAAAGACTGGGTAAAGAAGGGGTTGGGGGGGGCAGGCTGGTGGGGACGGAGGAACAGGACCCGGGAAGGGAACGGCCGGGGGTCTCCAGGATGGGCCAGCGGAGGAGATGTGGAGCAGGGAAAGATTCCAACGCGGAGCCCCTCAGCAGTGGTGACAATCGCTATGACAACGTGACAGGAGCCCCCGTACAGCTCACCTGACCGTTTACAATGGACTTTCACGGCCACAGACTCTCTGCCCCGATTTAAATTAAAACAACTCACTTTGTGATCACATCTGCATCACCAAAAACAATCCGAAATTCATATAACAAGGAAAGGCCATATCATTCCACAGCCATGGTCCCTGTCTGGCTGCCGAGTTCCCCAGACAGCTTTCTGTGCCTCTTTCTTTAAGAAAAATTAAAAATAAATAAATAAAAATCACAAGACAGATCCATGGGTCGTCGTCTGCTCCCTTCCCATTTTAATGGGGCTGTTGTTTTTTGGTTTTTTTAATCTGAGTTTTTTGTAACTCTGGGCACAAAGGGCCAAAGCTGAGCTCCATTTTGGAGATAAGGATACTGAGGTCAACAAAGATGCCAAGACGAAAACGGCCCAAGGTCACGGCAGCGTGGTAACCGGCTGCCAGAATCTGAACCCGGGACCTCGGCCACCTGACGACCAGGGCTGTCACACAGGGGCAACCACCGCGGACCAACAGAGATCAATCAGATGGGAAGGGACGCTGGAACAAGGGCTCGTTCCTCACCAAGACCCCCGCTCCCCCGTCCAGACTTGCCAGAACATTCTACCGAAGGCCCCCCTCGGCGATCTCTGCTCTCCAATAGGTATGCACACTCCTTAGCCCAGTGACCAAGAGCCAGCTCTGAACTCGGGTGACTTGGGCTTCAAGTCTGGCCGGTCCCACTTACTGGCTGTGGGACCGCGGACACTCCCCTACCCTCTCTGAATCTTGGTTTTATCACCTGAGAAGCAGGGGACAAAACCTTGGGGACTATGATGACAATAAATGGAAGAGCACAAGCTACGTGCTTAGCCCAGCCCTTGTCACGGTGGTGGCCCTGTCACTGTTAGGCTAATAAACTTTGCGAGCCAGGGACGGGACAGAGACTCAGGCCCACGCGGCTTCCCCATCCCCCAGAGAGGTCTGGATTGATGTATTTGCTCAGGATGTACAAATGCGCTGTCAGATTAGCCTTCGTAAAACATGTTTAAGGAAGGTTTTTTTTTTTTTTTAAACCACCTTACACTTCTACTTCAAGGCAAGACCACTCTGCATGTTGTCCCTCTGTCTGTCGCCCTCCCTGAGTGAAATGGAAAGAATCTGGAACTGGGACCCAGCTGGGATCTACCACTAACCAGCTCTGTGACCTTAGGCAAGTTCCTTAACCTCTCTGAGTCTTGGTTTGAGGGTTCATAACAGAGGAATGTTCATGGCTTTCTTGGAGGGTGCAGAGAGGACTAAATGCAGTCACCCAATCTGTCCACTTATTTCGTGACTATTTGGAGTCTCTCAGGCATTTGTCCTAGGCACACAAAGCCACCAAGGAAAATCCCTGTCCTTATGGAGCTCAAGATCTTAGTGTGGAAACAGAGAAGAGGGGGGTAGACGCCGCTGTGCAGGATTGGTGATGGGTTGTATGTAGTAGGTCAGGGATAATAAGTGCTATGGAGGGGCGGTTCACCGGGAAACAGAAACCTGCTTGGGGCTACTGCAATCAGAAAAGGATGAGGAGGTCACAGGGGACTGTTGAGCAAATATCAGAGCAAAGCCAGGAGCAAGTCATGAGATCAAATGAGTGAAACCCCAGCCCGGGCCACCCCAGTGGTACAGACCAACGGACAGATGCCTGAGCACCTTCAGAAACATCTTCTCAGTGCTCTTGACTCCGCCCACCTGTCCCCAGGCTGTGCCAGCACCTGTGTTTGCGCACCTGTCTGTCTTCTCCTGCTCTCAAAAGGCTCAGGGTCCAACCAAAAAGATCTACAAGCAAACAGGCTCTCGCCGCGGAGCGATGGAATCCCTGGGGCAGAGCCCAAAGACCTACGAGCAGGGATTCCAAGGCTGAAGAGCGAAGAGCGGGGATGCAGACTGCGGTACGCCCATTCAAAGGGC